GTGTCTGCCTCTTTACCTGGTTAAGTCGTTGAGTGCTGGACCCCGGGTTGTGGCCATAACTTTATGTGTTTCTCGCCTTTTTCCTTTTCTCCCCTCCTTCTATTAAACTCCTTCACTTAGATAAAAACTTTAACTTCCAGTATTGTGTGTGTGTGCACGGGTGTACACGCAGTTTACAAGTAACAAACTGGAATCTTTTTCTGTTTTTTCTCTTTTATTTTTATTGTTATTTTTTTCTCTTAACAAGCAAGTTTACAATAATAATGTTGAAGAACCTTTTGCAGTAATTTGGCAATAATAAAGTTTGGGAAATTTATGCACGACTTTTGCTTTTAGCAGCCTTTTTATCTGGAAAGGTATTTTTTTTCTTTAAAATGATAAACTGTTTCATTAACGCTTTGGAATTTTCGTTGAACTCTTCTTTTTTTTGGTAAGGATTTCTTATGGAAATCAACTATTTAACATTAAGAAAAATTAATAAAGATTACACGACCATTTGTTTATAAATGTCCTTTTTTACCAATACTTTTCTACATTATCCACTTGATAAAACTTTTTGCTTCTTGTTTGACTAAAAATTCCGTATTGAAAGAAAGGTGCAGCCATTATTCTTGACTTGCTGCTCCTTCCTCTTCTTGTGCTTCTTTTAATTGTTCCACCTTTTTTTTTATTGTTTTTTTTTTTTGTTACTTCTTTTAATAAAAAAACGGTTTAGATTTCATTTTCGTAGTTTAATTTTAGTTAATTCCAACTAAAGACACATTGATGTCATTCACTTAAAAAATCGTATGAAAGGAAATGCACTATTTAGCTATTAAATATCCTTGGGACGCAAATTATCCTATTGTTTACTTATTTCACATTGGCTAATGTTAGTCCTTTTTATCACACTTGAAGGATAATTTCAAAAAAAAAATTATTTTATTTATCCGTTTTATGAAAAGCTCGAAAATACGTCTGAACTTCACCAGATGCCAAATAGTTCTCCCCTCTAACTTGAAATTAAAACGCAGACAGACTTCTCGTTCTTACTCAACTTCCCTCTTCTTTTTCCTGTTGCTCTCTCTATAGCGGCTTGCCGCTACTCTCACAAAAGCAAGCAAAGATCCCGCAAAATCATACGATTCTGCCTGTACTTGCAAAAGCAAGCAAAAATACCGCAAAATCATACGATTTCTTGCCTTGCTTGCAAGAGCAAAAGGAAAAAAAAGGAGTACCGCAAAATCATACGATTCTGCCTGTACTTGCAAAAGCAAGCAAAAATACCGCAAAATCATACGATTTTTGCCTGTACTTGTAAGCAAGGAAAACAGAAAAGAATAAAACAAACAGATCCCGCAAGATCACGTGATTTATAAGCAGTAGCACAAAATCGCATGATTTTGTCTAACGGCATGCCGTTATTCCGCTGCTTGCGGTTCATGCAGACCGACAGACACCCTACCCGAGGTTTGTTCGCGGCCGTTACAATAGTTTTCAATCAGTACTCACTTGTCGTTGCTGTTTGTGCTGCTCAAATGCGTATTTTTTTTGTTTTACTTAGTTAATTTGCATTAAGTTTCTGGTGAAAATACAAACAATATACAAATATTCTCTTGCAATGCCAACGATTCCAATAAATTTTTATTTTATTTTTTATATATTTTTTGCAATAACTCCAAACTTTCCTTACTCAAAAGCAGTAAACTTACCAAGTATGTAAATACAAGTAAAAAAAGTTGAAAATTTCGCTTCAATTAAATATTTTGACCATTTAGCTTTAAAATGTTGCAATTGCAATTCGGAAGATGATGGCTTAAATTGTACCACGAATTTGAAATACTTGTCGCCAACATTATGTAAAACGAGTTACGACAGCTATTATACGAAAATCGGTAAGTCGTTTATTGAAACAAAAAAAAAGCAGTAAAAGAAAAAAAAAATTTTTAATTACAGTTAAGTTAACGTGTCTTAAATTCAATACTCAAAGACAATCAGTTGATAAGATACCTATGCACTTATAAATAAAACTTGATAAACACATTTCGTGATATTAGGTAATCTAAAAAGTAATCGACATATCTGTCACTATATTTAGTTACTTACGAGGAAAAATAAGTTATTTGCACTTTAGACATTAACTTATTTTGCATAACAATTTTTAAATCGTTATCATGGTTTTTTTTCTTGTTTTTCGTTTCCGTTCGTTAGTGCAGTGGTTTTCGACCAAATTCCTTGCGGTACTCGCATTTACATTAACCCTTATTGGCAATCGAATGCACGCCTTTTTTTTGTTTGGCCGTAGCAAGCAACCTAATGCGAGTAACTGTCGCGAGATTTTGTTAGTTTCTTTAGTTCTTTTTAGTTTTTCATGATAAAACCACAACTAACAGCAGACTAAGCTAGCTTTGACAAATACAAACTTTTTACCGATTTCAGATATTCATGTGTAGGTACCCTTTTTTCGATTATTCCCAATCATTGCTTTGTTGTAAAGTATTGTCACACGCACTTCTCTTTATGTAGATTTCAGTATATAAGAACTATGAATTTTCTCTAAATAATATTTTCTGTCATTTTATTTATTTTTTCCATTTTTTCTGTCGCTCTTCTCAACATGGGTTTTCTAGAACAAAAGCAAGCATTTTTGTTGTTTCGCAACTACCAAGGCATTTTGTTACTTATCTTTTTTTTTAATTTACTGGTTTTCGATGAGAGAGACCCTGCTTGAGCACCGCCTGTGAGGACTTTTGCCCGTTCCGTGGTACTGGGGTAAGCTCAGCTGCACCAGGCTTTGATTCACAAGAATTTTTTCTCTTGATATTTTTCTTTAAATGTTTTAGTGTTCAGAAGCTTTCTCTTTATTTATTAATTTTTCAACTTCGCCTACGATCAGCATCAAAAATGCTATTCGCTTTGCCAGTTCAAAGCGTACTACTCCTTTTAATGAAAAAAAATGAAAAATGTTACGAAAAATTGTGCTGTTTGTCGTTTTTGTTTAATTGTCCGTGTACTGGTAAGCAATTACGTTAAAAAAAAGCAATCTTCTTGATCGCTTAAAATTTTGCCATGTCTATGGCTTGTCATCCTGTTTAAGGGATTATTTATGTCAATGAAAGAAAAAGATTGTTTAAAAAATATACAGCAGTCTATCCTCTCAAGTAATCATTAAATAAATCTCTTTTTTTAAATTAAAAATCCATATTGAATTAAACAAACATTCGGCAGGGGCCGAATTTACCTCGCATGCCCACCACAATGCTTTCCGTATTCTACTCATTAAGTTCTTTTGTTTGGTACCCATATCGCTTGTATCATTAAGAAAAAATTAATCCACCACATCGCGGTGTCTACCGCCTTCATTTTAGAATTAACCCATTTTTAGGCAGATAATATATCTTCGTTTGAAGAATGTGCAAAATAGTTTTAAACATTCCGTTTGGATTGTCATTATGATAAATAAGCGTAAGACCTCAAAAAAATTAATCGAATAAGATTTAAGCAATTGTAGCTTTCCGTGGGCATGGCTAATTTTTCGATTTTTCTTCTTCTACTGATAATTTAAAAAGGATAACATTCACATTTAAGTTATTTGTAATTTTTATATTATTTCATTTATTTCATATATTAATTTTTGCTGTATTCGATTTTTTAATTTTCAATTTTCTTAAATATTTTGTATGTTTAAGCATAAAATTTATACAAAGTGCAATAATAATGGAAATTTAGCTTTTACAGCGGCCTATAAATAAAATTATATTAACAATATCGAGCAAAAAAAAATCAAAATGATTGATAATAAATAAGACGCAATGATTTATTTATTCATTTTTTAATTGCCAAACGAAGCGGTTTTAATTCTATACGGAACCGAAATATTAAAATTAAACAAATTTTATAATAAATTTAACAAAATGAATAATAATTTAACAAAACGGGCTGAATTTTAAGAAACTACTTTCTCCTTCGTTTTTTAATATTAACTAATAAATAATTAACTTTTAATTGACAAATAAAAAAATTGTACAGATACAAATTCAACAATTCATTTAAGATTTACCGCTATCTTCCTGTTTCTTTTTACACAAGAAATGCGAACTAAATAATCCGGTGGCGCATGTTGTTACAAGGATGTATTTTAGTGAAGAGCAAATACCAAGCCAATTTTATGTGCAAAGCCAATTTTATGTGCGTCATTTTGATTTGCTTTTCGGCAAAACGCGGAGCTCTCTTAACTTCACTGCAACACTGGCTCTTGACTTGTTTGTAAGAAATGGTTTTTTAACTATAAAGTATAAATGTATAAAAAAGAAAATACGCGAACATAAGGAAAACCTTACTTAATATTTAGAGCGAACAACAAAAGAATAATGAAACAAAAATATTTTTCTGAACTAAGGAACGAAATACTCGCAGACTTTTAGTTATAACCTGTTGTTAGGGTTATTTAGTTTTTCTTCTTTTTTTTTGCCATTTCCAAATTCTTGAATAAACAAAAAGCTCTAAATTATAAAAAAATATCTTAACTAACGCTTATACCAAAATTTCTTCCTCCATATAATTCTTATTTATATGATTCAGGGGCGCAGATAATATTGTAAGGATTGATTTTCATTTTCAATTGTTTTGTTTATAAAAAGTTCTTAATATTTCCGCATTCCCGCGGTTTTTTGGATAAATAAAAAAGAAGAAGTTTATGCATTTGCAATTTTGTTTTCCATTCTTTTTTTCTTACGGAATTTCGTTTTGTGTTTTTGTTTTCAGGACAATGTATATATTATCTATTAATTATAATAATAATTATATGGAAACTTAGTGAATGAAAGATACTGAGTGTGTAAATGAAAAAGTTTAATTGCAAAAATTATTTGTTATAGAAAAATTACAATAGAAACAAAAAACTGAAAATTTATGTATATTTGGTTTTCGTTTTTTTTCGCTAATTGTTTGGTTTATATATATATATATATTCGTAAAAAAAAGAACAGTGTTTATGAGAAAAATATTGAAAATAGTTCAACTCAAAAATATATATGTAGAAAATATACCAAAAGTGCAACAACAACAGCTCCATAAGGTAATATATATATTAAATTGTTTTTGGGGTGGCTAGCTTTGCTTTTCAGAGCTACAAGTTCACGCTGCAATTGTACATTTTGCTCTTCCTGTTTTTCCAAACGTTCTTTATATGCTATAAGCTCTTCTTCACGTTCCAAGGCGTCCTCATTAAAGCATTCAATATCGTTCTTAATATCTTGAGCGTGAAGATCGGAATTGCACTCATTTAATTCATAGTATACATCACGGCTATTAGACTCCCTAAGAGGTGATAATTCTTTAGTAATTGCAGGCAATGTCATCGCAGACTTCGACGACACCTTCTCTTCCATTTCCTGGGTGGCAGTTTTGTTTTTATTAATGTTATTTCCATTAATGACTTCTTCTAAAGCTCTTTTATCTTCTTTCAGAGAAACCACACAATTATTAAGGTCAGCCATTTTTTTTTTTAGATCGTCACACTCGACTTGCATCATTTCCAAAGTATGTTGCGCTTCGGATTCAGCGTTCTGCAATTTATCATTTAAACATTCTACCTGTTCTTTGTATTCCCGTAATTCTTCTTCCAATAAATGTTTATTTTTACCGTTCGACTTTTCGTTATCGTTGGTTTTTGTTGTACCTGGCGTGGAAATAAAACTGTTTGTGGTTAAAGCACCGCAAGAACTTAAGTCGTCTCCTATTTCAGACACATTTTCGTAATCCACAGGGCTGCTACGATCTGAATCTACCTTAACATTATCACATTGTTTTACCTTAAATGCGGGCGTTGAAATTAGTTTATCTTTGCACTGTCTTTCCGTTACTCTTTCTTCTTGCTGTTCTTTGACACTGTCCCATATTTCATTGTAGGCTTCTCGCAACATGTTTACACTAGATTTTAATAAATTATAGCTATTATTTTTCTTGGAAAGCACCTTAATGGTTTTGCCGTTGCGTTTTATAATGAACTCATTATTGGCTGCACCCTCCTCATCAGAATAATCTTCACTATCACCTCCACGAGTATCCTGCGATTCATCAGCACTGCAGCTAATAGCACCAGTTTCTAACAGCTTGACACGATTTGTTTCGTTTTCTATTTCGGCCTCTAAGCGTTTTAAATTTTTTTGTACGATTTTCAATTTCTTAGCAAAATTGGTACATTTTACGTTAATTACTTTCGCTTCGTCAGTAACGGGACCAATTTCGCCTATGTTAGAACTTTTATATTTCTTGGTCGTTTCAGCTTGGTCTTCATCACTTGAGTCATCACTCGTTGTATTGTTCTCATTGCATATCGCTTTAAAAATATTTAAAGAGCCTTCCTTTTTATTAATATCAGAATTCTGTAACCATTTCATTATTGTTGGTTCTTTAACACGTTTCGGTGGTGGCTTTTTGCATGCAGAAGCTGAGAATCTGGTATGTTTCATTCTTGAAATCTTTTGAAATTTACTCTAAAAGTAGAAAAGAGATTAATTGATAGCTTTGGAAATCGTTCTTAAGTTTAAAATTAAACAAGGAAGTTATGCTTACTTCATTAAGCGAGCTATGTTTATTCCCACAATGCCAAGCAAATATATAAAAATTTCAATTTTTATAGCCTGCATCATTTATGGTATGAATGTGTTAACTTTTTGTGGATATATCTAAAACTCGGAGGGAGTTAAGACTGAACTTTTATTGTACCGATCGATTCGGAGCATCTTCTGAATGAATTCATATTTTTCTTTCTGTATGTCAGTCTGCTATTCGTCAATGTCCATCCGTAATTGTTATGTTCAGTCTACATACAGTTTTGAAATAATTTAACGAAATTTGATATACTGTTGCATTTTGGATGAAGAACGCTATCCAAAACAAACGTTCTATCGTGCCGTCTTTATTCTCCATATGACGTGCTATCGGAAGACCTTTTATGAAAAATATGCATAATACATAATTCAATATTTCTCGATAAAACCTATAGAAAATAGTACTCAACATACAAGATAAATTTGGAGAAATTAGATCGCAGGGCATTTTCTAAATCCGTTACCACATGACCGTTGCTAAAAATAGTAATTCTTTATACGACAAAATCGAACTTTTAAAATTTTATAGTGGAAACAATCCCAGAATAGTAATTTCCCATATAAATTTACCGCGGTAAATTTGAGCCATATAAATACATAAAATAGCCCCTTCGCTTGCCAGCACCTCTTGAAAAGTAAGTAAGCATTTAGGAGCTGATGGTGAAGTATCGCATTATGCGAGCTGATGGTGAAGTATTGCATTATGCGAACTGATGTACCGTACTTCATGCTTTCATGTTTTTACTTCTTTGTTTACTGAAGATGTCCCAATTGATTTGTCGAGGATTTCTTGCAAAAAGAATTGTATATTTCGTTGCAACTAATTTTGAATAGCACTCAAATTGTGAATAGCATGCCTAACAATCGGTAGTTCTTTCCTTTAATGTTTAATTTATCAACATACAGAATTTATGTTTTCCTGACTCCGCTTTTTAAAGTACTTACCAAACTTGCTTCATCTACACCATTCATATCGTCATCGGATGTAAATGCAGATTTTGTCAGTCCAACATTATTTTCGTTCTTTTTAGGTACATCACCTTTACCATCATACTCAGGACTGCTATCTCTTTCATCATTTATTCCAATGTCATCGTCTTCATCATTGTCGACGTCGTCGTCTTCACCCATATTAGCAATGGCAGCATCTAGTTTGTCAATAGCCTGCTTTTCAAGCAATTTTTCCTCAGTTTCAATCAATTCGGCACGTTTCATTAAAAGTTCGGATATTTTACGTTTTAATTCTCCACATTCCAGTTCACGTTCACGTAACTTTTCGCTAAGTTCAACTATGCGCTGTTCTTCACGTTCTTTAGCCTCTTGCTGTTGTCGCATCGTAGCTTCTCGGTAGTCACTGTACTCTCTCTCTAGGTGCGTTAAACGACTATTTACATCTTGCAATATTTGTTTCGAATTCATGATTTGGTCGCGTAACAATGAGCATTCATTATTCGATTGCGTGTAAGCAGTTTCCATTTTAGCAAACATTTGCATTGCATCGCAACGTTCTTGGTAAACTTTACGTAAGGCTTCTTTGGCAGAGTGCTGATATGAATTCTTATCTTCCAAAAGTTTAAGAATCTTTAAAAAAATAGGCGAAAATTTCAAATAAATTAAAAGAAAAAAGTAAAAAAAGTTTATTTCGCTCTTAGGCCGGACCTCACTTCCCATTTGTCTTAAACAGTTTTTCTTGAACATAGAACGCTTTTACTTTGAAACTTCAAGCACAGTCTAAGTTAATATTTATGCTACATATCAAATGCATTAAATTTTCCCCCATACTTGTATTAATAGTCTTTAATTAAGCGGCATTTCCATGTTACATCATTGTTTCAATTTATCCCAAATTTTAAATCATTTTTCACTTTTATTTCAAAATGTTGCCTTTTGTCCATTTCAATCTTGATTGCAAAAAAAATCGGACGGACCACAAATTCTCAAGGATGGTTGGATACAATAATACAATAACGTTTACCTCGTTTCTTAAAACATTTTCGGGTATATTCTTCTCCATAATTTGCAGCTTCTTCTCCAATGAATGAATACGATGCAAGAGTTGATCTTCTGTTATCATAGCCTGCCAACATAAAGCTGAATTCTTCCGTGTAGCATCTAGCACGTTTTGTATGCTGCATAGTTTCGAAGTTAGCAATTTTTCTCGTTGTGATGTCTCCTGGACGTACAAATTTAAACGATGCAATTCATCAAAACTAATGCGCCCTTCTCCCGTGTGTTGATTTCGATGCGCCGATCCATCAATTGATATGGCTTCTCGTCCATCCGGTAAGTAAAGTTTGACGCAGGCTATAATGCAACCGTGAACTTCCTTACGAGAATTCTCCAGTACGTCGACGCCAAATTTGACGACATCCCCAAAGTGCAACTCAGCTTCGGATTCGCCTAATTTGTTATCATTTATGAAGGTACCGTTAGAAGATTTAGTATCCTTGACCCAGAATTTGCCATCCGGTGTATACCAAATGACCGCATGTTTACGTGACAAGACTTTACAATCAAATATGGCGTTATTTTCGGCTGCCTTGCTCTTAGCTATTAAACGTCCAACCATGCACTCCACATTTGATGTCAGGCTGATGGTACGCGTCTGAAATGGATGAGAATTAGCTTCACAAATAAGTACAATTCTGGCTTGTCCATTTGTATCTGGTGACATCGGTGCTCCTGGAGACATTATGTTAACATCGGTTACATTAGTGTCATTTTTCGCCTGACTTTCTAATAAACCAAATGATGCATTTAATTGTTTGGCAGTTTTGTGGAGACCCGCTGCTACGTTCACACTTAATGCTGCCCCTATGCCCAATTGATTTAGAAGACTTGACTGCAGCCCAGCTGCTGCCGCTAAGTTACCAGTATTAGCTGCATTCATAACTGATTGTAAAGCACTATTTAATACCTCTGGCGTTATGGTAGGACCGCCGCTAAATGGATCGGTGGATTGTGTTCCTGTGGCGGGCATGCTTAACTTTCCTGAACTTGAAGCTAGTAAAGTATTTGTATTTGAAAACGAAGTCCCCTCGATACCTTCAAGTACACCCAAACTGTTACGAGCAGTTGGTATGTTCCTGGTTGCGATTTCTTCTAGCGTGCTTCCTGCATCACTCTCACTATAAGTCCGAGTCTCAGGCATTTCCTCGTTGAAGAATGCTGACTCCTTTATATTTTCCGACATGATTTTTAAGGTATTGTAATCAAGCACATACTTGTCGAGATTGTTGTCGTCCTTGGTTGAGGTACCGATTGATGTCCTGGGGACCTGCTTGGTTTTATCATTAATTTGATTTTCAGTTTTTATAATTTCGCTTTTGATCTGTTCGTCTGACAATTTTTGTCCTTCTTTTTCATCGCTTATATTTTCATTAACAATTCTTGTTACTTTTTCGAGTTCAGGGAGTGCTGACACCGTTGTGGGTGCAGTAATCCCTTTCGTTACATCGCCTGGAGTTGTAGGTTTTATAACGTTTGTCACTGCTATGGTTTCCGTTTTTGATGTTGTTGTGGCAGCTGTTGTCGTTGTAGAAGCTGTAGTCTCCGCCGTTGTTGTTGACAAAGCAATAGCGGCAGTTGTTGGTAACGTACACGTTGTCGCCGTTGATAGCGTTGTCGATGGGGTAGCTGTTGCAATTGTAGTTGTAGTTGCGTTTGGTAGTAAAGGGGCTGCACTGTTATCGCCTGTAGATTTATGTTCATCTTCGCTACTATTTTGCCATTCGTTGCTGACTAAAACCATAACTATGGAAATTAAAATATAAGCAGAATTATTTCTAATACAATGGAGTATACAGGAACTAATAAAATAGCATTAAGTTTTTACTGACTGAAACTTGACGTGCTTGTGGCTGATTAAGATTTTCGTTTCGATAAAGCAAGTTTAGAGTTCTTCCAAAATGCTATAGTATTTAAAACATTGCTGTTGCCAATGTATTACATTCAATGCATAATAATAATAATAATAGTTTACAAAATAAAGAAAAATGCCTAGAAGAGAATAATTAAGAAATTTTATATCCTTGTCCAAAATATTTTATGTTTTTACTCGGCTTGTTGCTTATCTCGGGCTTTAGCATTGGATGCTTATGCTAATCGTCCCTAATTTTTGTTATCTTTTGCGGTTACTCAAACCCAGGTTGTATCTTTATTAAAAGCGTCCGCGAACTCCCACACTGATAATGCGATGTGTTCTCAGGAAGTCCATTGAAGTTCGGGAAACCAAATTTGTATGTGTGAGAAAGCATGGTCTACGAAGATAGGACGATAGGATTTTTCGTAACCACCTCGAGAGAACAATTTACTTGGCCTGTAAACACTGCAGTAGGTCATTTCTTGCTAATTGTTAGCTATTTAACAAACAGCAATTACAACGAAGATGTTGTGTGTCTATCTTTACCTATCAACATTTCAAAATCTGAATTTACTTGCAATTCCTAAGCGAGACCAAAAACTTTCCGATATTTTATGGATGAAACGCACATGTTTTTTTGTGGTGCCCATAATAAAGAACACCTTTGTTTGTGTGATGAACATCCGCGCATTTCATCAGACCAAGAAAAGGCTCTTATTTCGCCTATAAAGTCAGTGTTGGTTAAGTTTGTATTTCACTGACGATGCGACAATACTCTACGAATTTCATACACAACTTTCTTAAACATTTATTCGTAAAATATGTTTTTCAATCGTAAATTTTTAATGAATATTTGTCTATCATATTACGGCAAATTTACATATAAACGGGTCCGTGCATAATCCTAACAATCTTCGAAAAACTAAAAAAAAATTAATTATATAAAATATGAGGTCAATAACTTTAGATTCGTATGCGTTTTCAAACCAACAAAGATTGAACAATAAATTCTCATAGCGAAGCACATTCAATTAAATAAATAAATAAAATACGATATAAGTCACAGCAATATACCCATGAAAGTGAGCAAGAAAAAAGCCCTGGTCAGAACGTATGTACCAGAAGTTTTTGAACAATTTAATAAAACGGCATTTAAAAATAAACGAAAAATATGGTATCGACCGAAAAGCAACAAATGTAAATCGTCTGCGGAATTATTATTAAACTAGCCGTTCCCGTTTACAATTCATATGAAAAAAAACACAAAAACATTTGTGTCTGATGAATTTGGCAATAGTTCTGACTCAAAAAAGTAAAAACCAAAACAAGGAAGAACATTATAGTCGGGCAAGGACGCCATTAAATACCCTATCTCATTGTAATATTGTCTATCACAATTCTTATTGATATTATAGAACACAAAAATGACGTCTTCTTTCGCAGAATTCAAAAATAGGCGTAGATGGTCGAAATTTTGTAAAGTTATTTTTGGTGTGAAATTACTAATAGGGGGCAATTTTCATCCCCACATATTAAAACTTAAACTTTTTGCCTTACAAAGGACCAACTTTGGTGAAAATTCTTATTAGGGTAACATCAAAAAAATATACAATTTTCATTACAAAGCATTGAAAATTATACCATTTTGTCGCATGAATTTCAGTTTTCGCTACATGGGAGGAAGTTCAAGAATTGCGCGAGCCGAACCAAAGTTGTCGTACCAGTTTAGAAGGCCCAAACACTACTACTTAATCTCTTCGGCTGAAAAATTTTGAAAGTTACGATTTTTTCCTATATCACGGCTTTTTAGAATAGATCGTTATATGGGGAGAGGACAAAAAGATAGACCGATCCGAACCATTTTCAATAGCGTTCCCTTGGGTGAAAACATGTCACTGTACCCAATTTCATCTCAAGATTGAACACACATTTAGATAGACAGGCGGACAGACGGGCCTAGATCGACTCTAAATCGATCGGTAAAATAAAAGGTTAATCCATTTCACATCCTTCTGCGTGTTACATACGTCCGCACTACTTAATACACCTTGTACCACAAGTGACACGGATGCAACACCAAAAGCTTTGAAATTGATGTAAATGATAATGCTGTGCCATGTCAGTAGCATATATATAGATCATGACTATAATTGGTAAAAGGAAAAATTCTTACTAATTATTCTACTGTCCATCTCTGTTCAACATACCAAAAAAAAAAAAAAAAAAAAAATTATTTTACTGTCAATTATATTCAGAACATATTCCAAACGAACCAAACATCACAGGCAAAATAAAATAGTAATATTACGCTTTAAAATGAAACCTTCGTCAATAGGAAATCTTCCAGAACCGTACACATGTTCTTTTGATTAACCGTGTTAATGCCTCGGCTTTTGAAGTTCTCTGCTTAGAAAGATCTTTAATAAATCCATCTTTACTGTAAATAGTGAATAACTAACAAAATTCTCTCAGCAATAAAAATTGCCTCATAAAATCAATTATCTTCCAATTTTTAAAGCCTCTTTTGCTTAAGCGAATTTATGAAACGCTCACAAATGATCAAAATGGACTAACATTTCATCATACAAATCGACACAGGATAAATTTCTGACACGATTTATGCACGTATATCTATGTTCTTTGATATACAACCTTTGAGGTCGCAATTATCTTAAAATATGTTCATGAACTTTGGTACGCAGACTTGTTTAAGCCTAAGAACCGCTGCTATTGAGTATCGACTTTTGATGCCCTCTTTCATATAAACGCCCTTCCAAAAACTAAATATTTATGTGAAAACAAGTTCTAACACTAGGTATGGTGGTAATTGATCAACGGCGCCGTGGAAACCTTATGGTAAAAGCGAGCGCAATTTCCCCTTTTTTGAACACAAATTGATGAGCCCTGACTGCTTGGGTGCGGCCCTTCGGGGAGTAGTCGTGGTGGTTGTGGTTGGCAGTTCCAAGCCAAAGTGGAACAATCGAGTGCAGCTAGGCCTCACCACTGACCAGAGTGGGGTTTATTGATCCATACGCAATAAACCGTTCTGGACTCTGGTGCTGTTTAGGCCCCTACTCTGTGGGGATTGTCTAACTCTCCAGGGGGCGTAGTACGCTTAAAAGTGGCTTGGGCCATCGTGGGGTTAAGCCTTTCAGGCAGAAACCCACGTTAAACCCTTGCCACAAATTCTAGGTATTTTATAGTGAAAATTATGACACAAACTAGTGATTCGACATAAAAATTTACAGTGATTATTTTGGGAAGGATATGTGTATATATCAACAAGCCATAATTTTTTATATTAGCTGTTGAAGTTAAGTGAGGAATTGTATTAAGCGATGGTATGAGGGTATGCAATAGTTTGACGTTACTCAAATATAGCGTGTTGTTGCTTGTTATATAAATTTTTAATCGATCAACAGCAGCAGATAAAACTTTTTAAAAATATATTCTCATGACTTTCTTTTAGTTTGATCTAATAGCTCTTCTAACTCCTGCTGACTCTTCAAGTTCTTAGGATCTGCGATAAAATCGTGGTAGAATTTTTTAACTTTAAAAATTAGCTCGGGTGTCTTTTAATGAAACAGCCTTTGATTATGTCCACTTAACTTGACCCTACGACAATCTATTGTCGCGATAATACCTGTACTTATGCCAAAATGGAACAAGCGAGCAACGGCATGCAAAACAAAGCTACTGGCGATTTAAATAAATTAACTGCGCTTCGTTCTTAGACAGTAGGCATAAGTGAACGCAGTGAAGTACAGCATATTTTACGCTAAGATCTGGAAATGTGCGTTAGTAGTATGAACTAAAACTGAAAGATCTTAGGTGTTCATTGTAAAGACCAAGTTGGCATGTATAAGACCACAAGGCAAAAAGCTATAAGAAATGCAATAACATCCGCAAAAGTGGAATTATTTGTTGACTAATTCATATCGAAAGTTTTTGAAAAATCAATCCTTAACCTTTGGTGACAAGCGTTAATAAATCCTTAGTAACTAGTGATTGCAATAAGACTTAGCACCCTGTCTAATGAATCGAGCAGCTTCCATTAGGTGGTTCATTGATAAGTATTTTAGCCCATCATCAGAATTTCAATCGTTTACTAAAAAATCCCGGGAAGATGTTCAGATTTAAACGTCAGATAGATTAGAGAATATCAAGGTATACCTCCTGAATATACAAGCAAAAAAATAAAAAAAAATTTATTATAATCGCAAATTACTGATCTTAAGGAAGTGAAAAAGTGCTAGAAAAAGGAATGAAATGAGAAACGGTTAATACAATCGTAAAAACAACTTAGTAATATTCTAATCTAGGTAAACGTAGACTATAGTTTTATTGTAATGATTTATCTAATGAATTCTGCGCACAAGCTTTAGCTATTAAACTATCTGCATTCCAAAGCTACTGAAATTGATAAGTTTTTTATGATTGTTTGTAACACTTGCTCGTTGATACAGTTATATCTACGGACGCAAAGCTCATGAATAACTAAACGATCGCACAGAATCGTAAGAATACATTTACGCGGAACGTGAAGATTAAATATAAGATAAAACGGGAGTTTGGAGCACAGATTATAATACATTTGTTAATCGTAAGTGGTAATTATATTATATAGTCTTTTTTATTATTGAATCGAAAAAATATGATAAACAAATTCATAAATAAGATTTTAAACAAGGTTGCAGACATGAAACTGCGACATGGTATCAAACGGCAATTTGTTATTAAGCTGGCCGACAAGAAGTAGGCAGAGAGCGGTGCAATACAAATAAGTGAAAACAAAGGAGCTTAAGCGTAACTATACAAATACAAATATATAAGCATGTGCATGGGTAAGCACGCTTATGTGCCTATGCACATAAGGTTTTACTTTTTTTAAGTTGTGTAGAAAAACATATAACTAAATCAGTTTTATGTATTTAAAAAAAATGCGGTTTTTCACTAAGCACCGCAAAACAGAAGAACCAACTACTGACCAGCAGCTAAGCTAAGCTAGCGAATAATAATTCTATGCCACAACATGATGATGACGTAGATAATGACGGCTCAGGCTCAGGCGGAGACGACAAAAATGTGTTAAGGAGCTAAGACAAACTATGTCAGATAGATATTCAAATATGGAAAGCTCTTACTAGCACTACGGATGGAGTTCAATCAACCCTTTATCTGTTCATAAGAACACTAAGGTTTGGTGACTATTAGGATTATGTTAAACGAATACATCGAAGTTGTTGTTTTTATAGCATGCTATGTGTCTTTTCTAAATAAGGCGAGCAAGAAGTTTGTTTGGGAAAATACTTTGTTAAAAAATAATTTTTTTTTCAATTAATTTTCTTTGCAGTATGTTTTTATTTTTACTACAAATTGTGACACAAACACTTATGCAAATATATACAAAGAATAAATAATAGTACTGCTATGTATTAAATCACCACAAATAGTTGTCAACACTACTGATAAATAAATTGACTGACTGGAAAGATGAAGAGCACACAACAATAAAATTTACACAAAATCCAAACTCAATTCATTTATTTTATTACACACACAATTACCCCTGTCTGTCCACTACTGACACAAGTAATCAACTATGCATGCATATAAACTTTAAAATAATTGGCTTGTTATATGGCACTTGATATTATTGTTGTATGCTATAACTTCCCAGTCAGGCAGCTAACATCCAATATGTCTGTCAAGCCTCTCTGTACTTTTAATATTCCAAGCAATTAATTCGTTTTTTAATACATCTTAATTGAATTTAATTGCATTCCATTTGTTTTTCTTTCGTTTTAACATATTCTGTGATTACATCGTTTTGCCTTTCTGATATTCTCCTTCGCTTCTTCTTGTACAATTTTTAAGTGTCACTTGCGCATTTTTTCACTCACATAATAATCGATTTGATTTTTTCTTGTTTTTTTTTTTAATTTTATACGCACCTATATATATTTCTTATTTTTTAATTTTTTTGCACATAAAAGAAAAGTCAGTAAACTTCTTTCGTTCAGATGTTAAAATTTTGCATCTATTTTTTTATAAAGATGACATTTGTATAGAGCTTTCGGTTTCGGTATTTTCGATTTGCTTTTTGTGTATATTTTTCAATTATTTTTTTAAAATTATTTTATTAATAATCACGTAAATTTTTGTTTCGTTTTACACGAGAAATGGGAAGAAAATCGTTAAGAAATGTACACATAGCGCTGCCAGAGTTCAGAATCGTTTCTACTTTAAGGTGATATACGATTTTTTATGTAGAGATGAGATATTCAGGGTTGTTTTTATTTCAACACATATTTATAATTTTACTTTCTTTCCTTAGTTTTTGCTGAACAAATTTAAATTCATTCACGTTAGATTATAACATACGTTTATGCGAGCGCTACAAATGTAAAGCCAATAGTGGAGTCTCCGATTTTTGTGAATAAGAAATGTTTTTGTGAAATGAATTATACACATACAGCTGAAAAAACTATGGCTTTAATTTTACTAGTATTTAACTTTAAGTTATTGGAATCGTTACAGAAATTGATACGATCTCTAATTGATACACTGGACACTCTGCCACCTGAACACAGTAAATTGTTCGTGGAGAGGTGCAGTCTAATGTGATCAGCTATTAAGCGTTCCAGTACCTTCGACAAAGAAGGAAGGAGAGTAATTGGACGGAAAACTTGAGGAAGGACTAAAAGCCACTTTTTCCTAATAGGTGTTACTACCGCCGCTGTCTAACTGTTGTGGAATGAGCACGTAGTTATAATCAGATTTAAAACATGGGTCAGAGGCAGAATGATGTCTGGAATAATTAGTTTCAAAAACTTGACGTTAATTTTATCATGACCAAAAGTGTTCAATTTAATGAAGTGTATAGACTGTCACACCTCTTCACCTCCGGGACCCCTAAACTCAAACGTACCGTTATGCCGATGCAGCGCTTCCTGATTCACAAGTAATCTCCGATTCCATGAACAATATTTGGGACTCAAAATGTATGGATAGACTTCAAAAAGAATTGGGCTCTTCCTTGTGCCAATATTCCGTAAATTTTTCCAAAGAGCTTTCGGAGGAAGATTGGGATTAAGCTCTTTACAATACCCTCGTCGCTTTAAACACCGCGTGATATAGTGCACACTATTCCTATACCTCAGGAAGCCTCAGTGAGCCTAAATGGGAAGCCGACCCATTACCGAGTTTAATAGCCGTTCTGACTTCGGACGAATACCAAGACGGCTTAGAGGGACATGTCTTAATATATTATCATTCATATCAGTTCTATGCAAAAAATCATCACAAAAAACGCGAGAGGAGGCAAAATTCAGTCCTTCCATATTGATAGATTCAAAATTCTTACACTTGAAAGCTACATTGAGAAAATAGATCTGCAGATATGTCTTTATATGTCAGTGCTAATGCTACCTCGTGAATTTTTTCGCAATTTCTTTTACCGGTTTAAACGTTAGTTTGAGAGCCCAAGTACCAGAGAGAACTACATACATGAAGAATGACGTGCGAACATATTCACCAGAGTTATCTGTATTTCATTGAGTCAACAACTGGAAACATATGTCAATGACCTTTACAACAGGCAAACATTGACCATAAAAGGAAATGCTACCACTTCTGTCAGTATGTGTTTTTAGGTGATATTATAACCAGCAATTTGAGAAAACCTACTGTCAATCTTTGGCTTGAATCGTGTCTTCTTTCCGTAGACAACGTCAATTGCTAAGGTGTGGCAAGTAATCAATCTTAGGTTTGTTGAAACTAAATGCATTCACAAATGCGACGCTTTTCCCCACCCACAGACAATGTGCCATCTGCCTAAACCTCAGTAAATGAAGACCTCTTTCCATCACAGCGCTGCAGTTTATCCTGTCCTGTTTAGATATTGCATATATTCTTATGATTTTACTCTCCCCTAGATTCGAGTTCTGATTTCTTAGATTGTCAACCAGTACCTCTTTACTATAACTGAAGTTTATGTCAATTAGTTTAAATCACTTGCTTGGTACCACAATGTCGTAATCACCTGGTATAATTGCCTTAGCATTTTGCTTTTCCTCACTGTCATTGCAATCTATCATGACCGCGCCATTGCTCGTGCAGCGCACATTATTCAATTTTCAACGACTTCGGGTCTACATTCGGTTTTATTATCACAGGCGCATCAGAACTATTCACCGGAACCTTCACAACCTTTGCGAAAATCGGTTGCTTAGTTGGGACAAGGTTTCATCTTTTCCTTGAACTTGTCACTCACGTCCCACCGCTTCCTAATTTCTTTGCCATTTATTTCTCCCAATCTTCCTTCCTCCATCAATGTAAGAATTTTGCTATAGATAAAGTTCGCGCTAAACCCTATTTTCTGGTTAAATAATAATAAATTTTTATAATCGGATCTAAGCGTAATGGCAAATGAAAATTACTATCTTAAGTTATCGATAATTGATTATATTTTTAATAAGAAATAATGTCCAGAAAACTTAGCAGCCCTGTTTAAGAAATATTATAAAAAGAAAAAAACTTTTCTAGATAATACTTATTTTAAGATAACATATGGATATAGTTTAGAATTAATTTTAAATGTCTTCACTATCAAGAAGAACGAAATCTCTCGACTTGTTCTTGCAAAAAGTAAGTTGCTTCCTTGCTTAATTCCAAATTATTTGGGAGCCGAATTTTGAAATAGCGTTTTTTAGCTACCAAACCTCTTGACGAAATGTAATCTGACAAGCAAGATAAAAAAAAATTACACAGTGCGCCAACAGATTCTCATGGCTAGAGGATTGCCCGATAGGTCTGCCTTGCCTGGTGTTGAAGATATAGTGGTGGTGGCATCTGGAAAGGGAGGTGTGGGGAAATCCACCGTTTCAGTTAACTTAGCTGTTAGCTTGGCCAACATGGGCATTAGAACAGGTTTACTTGATGGTGATATATTTGGCCCATCATTGCCATTGATGATGAATATCCGTGAACAGCCACTACTCGATGATAACAACCGAATTGTACCTCCAGTTAATTATGGAGTGAAGTGTTTATCTATTGGCTTATTAACAGAACAAAATAAAGCAATCATTTGGCGTGGCCCTTTAGTGATGTCAGCTTTACAACGTCTATTAAAAGGAGCTGTTTGGGGGCCCTTAGATATACTAATTGTGGACACTCCGCCTGGAACTGGCGATGTACATTTATCTTTATCCCAAAATGTTCCTTTATCGGGAGTAGTACTAGTCAGTACACCGCAAGTAGCCGCGTTGCAAGTTGCCGCCCGGGGTGCGCAAATGTATAAAACTTTTGGCATTCCTTTGTTGGGTTTAATCGAAAATATGAGTTATGCAGTTTGTGGTAATTGCCAAAATAGTTTCGAAATATACGGAAATACTACAGAAACATATGTGGATCAAATGCAAACCAAAGTTCTGGCCTCTCTACCTTTGGACGCTACTATAACGGGTTGTTGCGATGCCGGTGTGCCAGTCGTTTTGCAACATAAAACTTCTGTTTATGCTAAAAGTTTTCAGAATTTAGCCAAAGAAATAGTGAAACTTTTGGAAAGGCAGAAACAAGAAATTAAGAAGGAATAATTATAAAAACAAGAGTTTCGCTTTAAGTCAAATTTAATATTCTATTTTTCTTTCTCTCAAAACAATATGTGCCGTCATTTAAAATTGGGTTCCATTAAAAACGGAAGCTTTTGTTAGTTATTCTTTTTTAGCTTTCTCATTGCTTTTGTGGCTTCGCGATGGGCGTAATTCTCTTTCCGCTTAACGATTTCATTATATTTACGCTTTGTGTACATTTGAGCCTCTGAATCAGCTAAGAGTTCATCCATCAAACTACGTCTCTTATGCTTACGAACGTCACACTCCCTATCATATAAAGGGGAATACTGCACAGTACCAACCTGAATAAAAATGTTTTCAATATATGCAAAAATTTGGAAGGTAACGATTTACTTACTTGGAAATATTTAGGCAAAACTTTTAAATCATTTTTCTTATAGAAATGTTTAGAATCTAACACAGAACGCATCTTCAATATCTTTAAATCATTTTCTACTTCTTCGGTTGTTTCAGGAGCGGACATGTTGAACCAATCCTTGCCTTTAGTTTTTGAACGTTCAATCTGCCAACGAAAAGAAAAAATTTGTAATATAAAAATGCATTTACATTTATAATATTTTCTCTATCTATTAAAATCAGCTTACTAAAGACGTCATCAATGGAAGTCTTCCCAACATTTTAATGTCAGCAATTCTTGGTTAATTAAGTTAAAAAGTTAAAATTTGCAATCATTTGCAATATTGTTTGCCTTAATTAAATCGTTTAAATAAAACTTGCAAATGAACGACAGTCTAAATAGAGGCTCTTGAATATACCGCTGGCCTTACAGTAATTATTGGAAACTTTTAATATAATTTCTAAGATTACAACGGTTGAAAGTTTAGAAAACAGTTGTTGTTGTTGTTAAACTTACAAATTGAGTCCGACATTTTAAATAATGTTGGGAAAGAAATCGTGATTAATTATTTCAAGCAACAGCTTTATGATGTCGAATATTACATCATCTTAGAAAAAGGAACAAGTCTATTAACTGCAGAGATATAAGAGCTTACCTTGTTCAATTCACGTCGCTTTCTGGTATTTACAACGCTAGGTAATTCCTTCAATTTCTCCAAACCCGATACCATACTTGATTTACCCATAATTTTGGCAACATCAGTTTTAGTTAATTGATCATCATTATGTCTGCCGGTAGTTTCATTAAAATCCGAGTGGTCTAGATCCACTAAATACCGTAGTTTTTGTTTATTATTTATATGATATGAGGTACATGCTAAACGTTCTATGCAGAGGTCCAATGCTTCTTCTATTTTGGATGGTTTCCTTAAAGTGATTGCCAGTGTTGAATCTATAATGTCTCCAACGTCTACATTAGGAAGTGGTAGACCTAAGAACATAAAAAGACGTTGAAAGAATTCGGAGCAGAGACTCACAAAACAGTTCTTACCGTATAGATCTTGCTCTGTCACATCTTCATCATCACATGAGGTCGATCTTTCTGCATCAGTGGGATGATCAATAGCCAGTAGTAGTTTACCTTTTGGTATATTATGCGTCGTTTTCAGAGCGTCAGTTTTTAAAAGCTCTATATCTCCGGCTGTGTCTAAAATAAAGTAGGGCATCTTTAATTTATTTTTTACGCTAATTTTTGCCTTTATATGCTTTGCTATATATTTTAAAAATTTCTTTTTAAGTCAGAAGAAATCACGCGTTTTTCATACGAAAATGTTAAAATCACCTGATATCAAACAAACACATCTGTTCTCTCGATGTTGACTGAACATAAACACCAACTTGTCGAATTGGCAATCATAGATGCTACTGCATATAAATTTTTTTTTTTTTATGGTTAAAATGAAAACGTGCGAACGTTGGCGTAAGATTAACATATAATCGAGAGGAAGTTGCAGACAGTAATTTATTGACAAATAATTCAAAAATCATAATTAGAACTGGTATTTAAATAATTTTCTCAAAAATTTTCCAGCAAACAGACAATTACAAGCCGACTGTCGCATAAAAAGAAGTATGTTTTATTGGAAGCGCTATCCTTTTTTACGACTTGTTTTAAAATTTTAGATTAATTATTTGATGCTACAATGGCTTTTAATACCAATAAGTCTGAATATAGCCTTCAGACAACCCAAACAAATCTCACATCTATTTTAAAATCGTACCAGCCCACAGAAAGAGAAAAAGCTAAAAGCACAGTCATCAATAGAGTACGTTTTGAAATGCCAAAACAAAAGGGCTTACTCTTTGCGGTAAAAGAGGTAGAGGAAAGTCAAAATTATGCTGCTATAGATGAATTTGTGGCTTTCTTAACGGATAACTTTTTGCATGTAAGCCAATAACGGAGATTTATTTCAGATCGTGTGTTTAATGTTTCTTTTTAATCTATACGTGTAAGGATCATGAATTTTTAAATATCTTTCATGACGCTCTCTCCCTTTGTAATCAATTAACCGCGAAATACACCCCATTGGTAGAAGCTTTGCTTGCGTTGTCGTGGAATAAGCGTTCGACTGAAGTTGTAAAAGCATACAGTGAATTTTGCCTTGACATTTTAGTGGCTCACAATAACTATTTATCATTCGCTGTAAGGAAATTGATCAGTTTATGGATACCAAGTGAACCAAATAAAGAGACAAGCTTAAATAGTGAAATATCGAATGAGTTGCAGGTTATACACCAGTTATTGGAAAAAATTCTTAATGCTATACCTATGGCATTCGATGCTATTCTAGACGCGATTGAATCGTTATTTCCCTATTATAAAAGGTCTTCGTATATTAGTTATATTCATAACTTGCTAAAGCTGTTAGAGTATAAACCGATATTTACAGAGTACATAATACAATTATTAATGGAAAAGTGAGTAGTGGACAAACAGGGAAAAATTGTTTAAGTAATCTAAAATATTTTGTTCTCCTTCAGACTGGCTATTTTAGATGTAAATGCTCCACGCCACGAAATTGAAGATTTGGAAAGTGATGATGATAATGAAGAGAGTGAAGCAGGAGAAATATATAACGAAGTAATACCAAGGCATGAGAAAGGTAAATTCAATTTTCTTTGCGCTATACAAAATGTGGAAATATGTTATTACGTCGGATCGAATTAAGCCTTAGTTAGTGAATGCAATTTCCGTAACTACATTTTGGAAGTCACTTTTGCTTATAATATTTTCTCCGCATTGGTCCTAATTTTTTTACAAATTAATGGATAAAAAAGCGAAGTTCAATGTAGCTTCTGGTTTTCCCCCTACGTTTAGGTTATTACTAATAAAACTTCGCATATGTTGGGAATCTCGTTAAACACTTTCTTAAACTGTTTTATTTAATTCCTTAATACATACTTTCGACATATGCGGAACTAAATAGATACAAACAACAACTACCAAGATTTTATTTAGAAACTCTCTATAGAGTCAATAAAATGATGAGAAGCTAAAAATATTAAAAGTCGTTTAAAAGCCTTAACCAGTTAGTAAACAGGAAACAGTTATGTGATGTATTAAATATCAATGCGTCTATCGCAGTTTTTTTTCTAATTCTATACGTTTCTCTTTTAGCTAAGAAAGAGGAGCAATCTATGAATCATCCAATAGCCAAAACGCTGGACATTAGTATGTTGGCAGTTTTCAATTTTCTTAAGAAAAGAAGTTCTTCAGAATCATCAGAAAAAGAAACACTAAGCGACTCATTAAAGTTTCTACAAATTTTAATTAAAGCTTTCGATGCGGTTATTTTACCCATACATAATACGCATCATGTCCAATTTTTGATATTCTATTATTGCAGTTTAAAGGTAAGTGCTTCTTTTTAAAACAGTGATTTTTCTTTAAATGATTGCAGCGCATAGTATAATCTCTAAAAGAACCAATCGAACATAACATCCAGTGAATCATAACATCCATAAACATTGAGAGAGCGCAATAACTATCCTCCGCTTTCAATAAATATCCTCGGAAATTCTGTTAAATGGAAACATGCTCGGAAATTTTGTTAAAGTGATAAAAATACCCTCGGAAATTCTCTTAAAGTGACAAAAATATCCTGGGAAATTCTGTTAAATGGAAATATAATTCTGTAATAGAATTCTTTATTTGATGGAAGTGATCATTATCTCAAGTGATCTCTTAAGTGATGATTATTTCAATTTATTTCACTTGCATACTTATTTGTACCTTTTTTATTCTTTCTCATTTTTGATAATTACAAACAAGTATTGAAGCAACCAAGCTGGTTATGAAATTTGCTCTTGTCTTCTTTTTCCTTATTATAAAAAGTTACAATATGCTTTTCTTTCCAGCAAACTTTAAGCCAAGTTTTTTTAGCTTCTTTGTGGAACAAAGTTACAAATCCGAATTGCCCTGCGTTAATCAGACAGGCCTCCGTAGGATATTTATCCAGCTTTTTGGCACGATCTGCGTTTATTCACATAAAGTAAATATACAAAAAAAAATTTTTTTTGTTTCTTATTTTGAAAATTTTCTTTTCTTAGTATTATTAAGTTATATCTTAAAGAAATGTGCGACTGGTGTCAACAATATATCAAAGGCTCCGAACTATCTCGGTCAAATGTTTCTTTGAAATCTAATTTGGTATTCTACTCCGTTTGTCAAGCTATTTTCTATATAATAGCTTTTCGTAGTCGAGATTTGACTGTGGACAAGAAAAGTAATCCGTTCCTACTCACATTATAATAATTATTTCATAACCTATTCCATTTGAAGGTATTTTATTTCTGCAATCACTGCAATTAACAGCTCTGGTGACGTCTACTTACAACCCGTTACGAGTGTGTTTGCCGGCAGTGGCTACAGCTTTTGCCGGTGTTACGAGGGCTTACCAATTAGCTTATTGCCATGCTATTTTAGAACGTAATGCCCGTCGCAAACTAGCTACTATATATGCCAATGATACCGCTACGCCTGAAGAAATTCTAGACACATTTTTCCCTTTTGACCCTTATTTATTGAAAGTGTAAGTGACTATATTCTCGTCTAATATCTCCGTATTAAAATATTAATTTTTTAGCTCTGGTCAGCGTATATCACCGATTTACTTGCAATACCAGGCCAGCGATGCAGAAGAACGTTCTTCTCATTCTTTAACGCCTGAATCTATTAAAGCCTCAGATCGAAAACGAGGTCATCCTGAAACGTTGGGTGACCATGACGTTGATGATTTCCTGCCCGACGATAAGCGTCAAAAGTTAATAGATACGAAAGTAGATCAACCAAGACATTTATCTTAATAAGTGAGCTGATGAAGAGTTCAAATAATTCATTTTTATTTGTATGAATCACCAGGAACGTTCAGAAGATCTTTAAAACTTTTGTTTAGAATAAATTGTGCAAATTATTGCAATAAATAGTAACTTATTTTTTTAACATATCCTGCAACATTTGTGCTTGCGCAGATATATACGGCGCCCAGAGGAACCACGTTTTATTATACGGATCGAGTCGAAATCGACCTAAGCTTGCTTATCTTTATTAAGCCTACAGGTCGTAATTTTTGAGACAATTTGATGAAATTGGGTGCGTAGTTTTGGGCCAAAGATGAATCGGATCGCGCTATTTATGGACCATATTTGAATAATTGTTCCAAGTAAAGTGATGTGGTGATAATGGTGATCCACTGTTAAGTTCTTGTTCTTCCATATGCCTGAAAATACTTCCGGCCCTTTTTCATTGCTTTTTTCGCTTCTATTTAGAAAAAAATATTACGGCATTTCAAAATCAGATTTAATTCCTTTGAGTTGTAAAGAGTCTTCTTGGGCAGGGTACACTCAGCCAATCCAGGACTCTTTCCAAGAATATTTATAAAGATTACTTCGACCTTCGGTTTCGGTCTTACGGTTTTATTTATTTAAATACAAGAAGATTACAGTATTTACGCGAATTTTAAGAGGCGTAGGAGGAAACCAGCGTGGTGACCCCGACTTTCCGTTAGAATTTTTTTCCTTTTTAGTATAACTTATACGAACGCTTGTTATCAGACTTCTCTTTTGGCATCGCGGGTTGCTAAAAAGAGACGAACACGTCGCGGATGTCATAGCAGCCTACCTTGCCCCACAGGGCCGCTCGTCCGTCCCTAGTCGACTCATGTCAAAAAAAGAAAAATATCCATCAGCCCTATCATTCCTTCAAGGATGACGGCGAAGCCACACCTGTCATCCTCTATCCGTAACGGTCAAAAAAAATCCCTATCACTAAAAGTTAATTAGTTACGTCCGTGATTACTCACCTTCGGCTGCTATGACACAATTGAAAGGCTGAGCGTGGTGCGGCACGGTGCTCGTCAACCACCTTTTTGTTGCATTCCGGTTGAGGACATGCTTTATAGAAGGCGGTTTGACTTTTTATCAAATATACAACGACTTTAGTCTGAAAATAATCTGACTTATCACCCGTACCAAGATTATGTGCTTCAAGAAAAGTACGCCACTCTGCACTGCCACCAATAGCGCTAGCACTTTAAAAACGATATAAATGATTTCAACACATCATAATCTAATGATTGTTCAATAGCTTACTGAGCAGAAACTGAATTTTTAATATATTCCCCGCCACCGTTGTCAAACCAGCCACGTAATTTGTAGCCTTCGGGTATATCAGGGTTAATTTTCATATTAGGACCATTGCCCAGGCTTAGACTTTTACCTCCATTAAATTCATTGTTGCGGGCACCTTTTACCAATATGACTGGTTGAACTTGGCCATCAAAGTTGACAGCATCCTCTCCCCATATTGTTAGAGTCACGGCAGCATCACTGATATCAATTAGGACAGGGTCACGTTTTTTGAATTCTTTGTTTGTTGTGCGTGAGGTGAACATCTGTACCTCTCCAACTTCCTTGCATACACCCACAACATCAACGGCCGCTTTAGGTTTCATATTTGCGACTTGGGAAATGGGCACTAGGCCATATTTAATTTCTGGTATACCAGAAGCATCCTCACATAACTGTACAACTGTCTCATTAGTAAAAGTCATTTCAAAATCATTTTTAAGTGTAGAGAATTGTTTGTTTGCCGGCTTCAATTGGCATCTGCTTATGAAGTAGACTTGGTCCACCTGTATGATATCGTAGAATTTGTCGCATTGTTCACGAAAGGGTGTAGCCCTTATTTCTCCCGATTCATCCATTAAGTCCATGTTAAATAGTTTCCCTTCACCTCTAGCGTTACTTCAACTGCGTACTGCGGACTTTGCAGTAACGCGGGCTTTTATTGTCCACTTATTGTGATATGGACTCAAACTAGCTATTGGACTAATTAAACCAGCATTCATCGATTGCTCGAGATTGGTATTCTTGCTGTTGCCGTTGGAAAAGCTTCTATTTTCCTTGGCCGGTTTAGATTTATTATTGCTAGTGGACGGTAACGAAGTAGGAGTAGGAGCCGCTTTCTGAGCAGATGAAGCAGGTGCGTCTAACGGGTTGATGGGTTCACCAATCTTCTACACATGATCGCCTGGATGCAAAACTGTCAAGCCCATAACAATGAAGACACGTCTGAAAATAATAGAGAACCATTTCTTTGCTGTTTTTTCACGATTCAGGTTAAAGACTACATACTTTTCAGCATCGTTTTTGCTTACTATCGGCGTTATATATTTATCTACTCTAATAATCGTGTTTTCCTTCAGCTGTTCTTCTTCGCATGGCAAATTCAAATGAGTAGAAAGCATTGCGTCCGAGATGAGAATGCGTATGAGCTCGCTTTCTTCAGTAGTTATTTTCTTAACACCCAAAATTTGTAGGATAGGTGCTTCAATTTCTTCGCTATTCATAATACGCTAAAATGCAATTTCACAACTGAAATTAATAGCACTAGCTAAAATTAGTCATTACGAACGACTTACTGAAATGACTTATTTAATGTTATAGACTCAACACAAACGCAAGGACAAAAAATGAATACAAGGAGTATCTAATCAAATGCCTTCACAATATCAATTAAAACATCTTTCCAAGAGAAGGAAGCTTGCTCTCGACGTCTATTAATTGAACGTCATCAGATTAAGCTCGAAACGCGAATCAGCCAAATTTGAAGACATATATGGGATTTTGGAACATATTAAATGCCTTTTTACACAAAGCAACTGGATGATTTTGTCGCTTTTGTATCGATCTGGGCAAGATGACAACCAACAGTTTTCATCGCTTGCATTTTCTTGACTCTTGAGCAGATTGCTTTACGGTGGAATTTCAAATCTCACAACTTGGGAGTAGTTTACAAATGATCGCAGCAAACCGAAGAAATGAGAATAGTGCTTACAGATCTTGCAATTGCTAATGTTCATAACGATTCGATCGTTAGTGCCTTTGTTGTCTTGATGTTTGCAAAAATTCAAGGACAAGTTAGAAATATAACATACATTACATAAATTTTGTGTATTAAAACACTTTAGAAGAGCTACCGCAAAGGTGTTTACGTGATTACGCAGTCTGAAGAAATATTGAGTAAATGCATGGAGTTAGATTCCTAATGAAATGGAAAATCTAGGTCATCATGAGTAGTTTGTTGCTAACGAACCATGGGACATTAACAATAAGGCGGAAGGTTCCAGATTGAAACTTTTTACACTTACTTACTGCCATAAGTCCAAAACATTAATATAGGCCACAAAGAGCGCAGCCTAAAATAAGTCATTATTAATAATAAACAAACAACGTAGGTAGTTAACTTACAGCAACTGCAGCTAATAACTCCCACATATATGGAAGAAGATACGACCAGAAACGTTTCCAATCAAATCTTCCTTCATCTGGTTGCAGCGTGTTTTGAAAGATACCGGTCAAGCGGTTGCCTTCACATTTAGCATGCCGAAAATTGCTTTGTAAGAGACTACGGCTACTTAAGCCAATTGTCACTGCTCCCGCGCCGCAGAGAAAAGTTCTTAATCTTAATGCATGCTTGGCTTATTGTCACTACCGAAAACTGGCCCTGGTTGCATACGTTCTTTGGCGTACCATATGGCAAAACCGTCACGAAATAATTCTGTACCTTTGCCTTGAACTTTAAAAGTCACATGAATTTCCCAATTCACAGTTATCCATGGCTGAAGTTATTAAAAAAAAAAAAAACTCCTTGAAAAATCATATCGCATAACTTGAACTTTTTAATTCACCGGAAAATTTCAAATAGGTCCACTTATTGATTGCTGGTCTCGTGTCAGACTAAAAGCCACTGATTCTCGTATAACATTTTAGCTGAGTTTAATGGAAACAATACTTCCTAATAATGAGTTCACCAAAAATTACTGTATTCAGAACTTTACCCATAACTTTCACAGCGTCTACAAAATTTTGCCATTCAGCGAAATTCTTTGTTTGACGTTGTATGATGAGATATCCTATTTTTTTACTCAAGGCATGGCCAAGAACTACCAGCCAACCATGCTTATGTTCCAATGAACGTTGTGGTAAAGCCTCCAAGCATTCTTTAACATCAAATTAGCGTCAAATTCTCGATCATCGAGTCCGTAAGCCCATAATATAACTTGAGCTGCTTGTATACGCATTATATCCGCGACATATTTCAAGGAATTATTCAAAGGTTCTAGAAGATAAAGCAACGAAGAGGTCAACAATTCAGGAGCAGCGTTTAGTAAACCATGTAAGCACAAAAGATTTGATTCGCTTGCAAAAGGACTTCCAACTAAACTCTATGAGTAAAATAAAAAAAAAAGAGATAGCATATCTTTTGGCTTTCACACTGCGTTTAACAAATTGTACGTATTGATATAATTCATTATTATATGATTCTTCGTAGTTACTGATAATATAGCGTTTGAGCTTGTTAAGATGTTTTACATCACCGGGAGGGAGTACAGACTGCACCGGCAGAATACCACAAGCATAAGCGTAAATAATCTAGTATCTGGCAAAGAAGTAAAGAGGAAATATATTAGAGGAACACACTTTTTCTATCGTTATTTCATTTGCCTCTAAGTAATCAGATCGAAAGCGGTTAATCGAGTTTGACGGCGGGATGAAACAAAAACTATGGTGGGTTCCGTTGGCGAATAAGAGCGTATTGTTTGGAATGTCGGCCGATTCGTAGTGGCCATCCATGGACAGTTTGCCTGCAAATAAATGGTTAAAGAGAAGGCAGAAAAGTTATTCAATTCGGTTTAATTGCCGGAAAACTCATTTATATGCAATTGCAAACAAACCGGCCTTACGGAAGGTTTAAAATTATATAACCCCATTTCCTTAATATCCAGCCAATTGGCGAGATCTTGAGCGTTGGCAAAAGCAGTAGATAAACCAACGTATATTGCATCCTGTAATGAAATTCATACATGACACAATTACAAAATGTATTTCGTCTATAACAATTAGTACAACATCTTGCACATGTTCTCTTGTCTGGCAAGACCGGCTGATACCATCCTATTTTTTTGGTGTGGTAGCTATCGCTAATTCTTTCCTTAACCAAAGCTTTCAAACGCGCAATATAAACAACCTTAGCTCTTTCGTTATTATTGTATGGCCATTTCCGCTACTATAGTTTTACCTGAACTTGTGGGTGAGTCCAACAAAACGTTATTATCAGTATGATAAAAACAATGAAAGACTTGAATTTGTGTAGGATTGAAATGCGTAAAATTATAGAAAGATTCATAGATTTTTCAGAGCACTATAGGTTTCGGTAAGAGGGAGATGGTGTTCCGGTACCACTAAAAATTAAAAGTTAATGGAGTCCACGCATTGGTACCCAGCCAAGTGTCACTCGCTACTCGTATATAATATTGTGACGGTAAAGGCTCTTTGAGAGGTATTGCCATCAACAGTTTTTGTGGTTTTTGGCTGTAGACAAATTTGCGCGTGGCCTAAAAAGTGTATTTTAACATGAAGAAAGCACATAAACAGAAATGATTAATTTTTATAATAGAATTGTAATTGCGGTTTGGTAAAAATACCTGGAACAATTCATAAAATTGGAAACGGGATCCTTCAATCCATAACCAAAAATTTTGACTTGTTTTACCATGTATCCGATTATTCTAAACAAAGTTTGGCGATATATTGATTTTAATATGTAATACTGTACGCGTTATGGGCTGCAAGGTGTCATCAACATTGAGCATGGGCAATTCTCCTTTAGCGATATCTATTTCACGAAGTGTGTATAAACTAACACCTCTGCTTTCTAATTTATCTATAGTCTCGATATTGATATGCAAGAACTGATGCATAGGACTCTTGAAATCCCAATGTTGTCGTTGAAACAATTTCCACACTTGTAATATATGCCCTGCAAGTATCGAATCATTATTACGCAAGACAATCGCCCTCAATGCGTGTTATATTTTGCACGATGTACGACATGTCAGAGACTAGAGCAAACGATTTAACATAGCCACGCGATAGGCATGTCTGCATTAATATGTTAGTTATATATTATTAATCTGAAATTAAATTGAAATAAATAATAAAGTTATAAATGACAATCAGTAAAGATAAATGCAAACTTACCATTGGAATGCAACGAATATTGCGAGGAGGGTGGCGATGGCGCGCGGAGGAACTTACGACCACGTGATGTTGGTGTCCATTTTCTCCCTAAAATTTGTTCCGGTCAGTAATATTATCAGCACGAACCCGAGCAAATTTCTCCGGTGTACCTCACCTCTGCTGCATAATCCTGGTCTTCGGAAAAAGGGAATTTGTCTCACTATTGTAGCTTGTAGACGCATCCCTGTATTCTTTGCGGTCATGTACTGTCTCATGGTCGCGTAGAAGATTTAGTACCCTTTCTGAAAAGTTTCATAAACATCTTCTGTTGGAAAGGCCGGTTTCGGATATTTTGAGGTCCACGTTAAGCTATTTCGTTTATTTCTGGCAACCTTGCGACTTCGTTTCAAATAGCAGAAGGCGTCTTCGTTCAGCTTGAATTCCTCTAAACATATTTCGCATTGGAGCTGCTTACGAATGTAGCGTGCTATACCACAGCCTCAGGAACTCTTCAAGTTTGCGGCTCAACGGCTGAATGGATAGATCTTCGAATATTTCACCATCAGGGGCGAACGGAACGAATTGGCTTCAAGATCTTAGAGCAGTTTATCGATGAGCAGGTAATCGTTCTTCTGTTCGACTGTTTCTGACCAACACTCCTCCTGTACGGTCCTTAGTCTTTCGATTAGCGCCATTATTTCTACGGATGATCGGCACCTTCTGTTGCTATTGCTGGCTGCCATGTTGCTGAAAAATCTTTCCAACAGATCTTGGCTTACTCCCTATGGTGTGATGGCTACTCCAGGGTAAGTCTCCAGCATCTCTTCCATAATTGCTTAGAAGTTCATGATTGCGGTTCGGATGTCCGCAGCTAGGTAGTCCCCAATAAATTTGCTCTGTAAGTATTCTTCTACGTCTTTTAGTTATTCTTTTAGCTCTGGCCAAATTTCGCTGCTGATCGTTTCCCGATGGAAGGCGTTTACGAACTTCGTAATTATCGCGGTTAAGTCGCAGACTGCTTGCGCTTTTCCGTCAGTATCCTCGAAATCATCATTGTCGATTGCATCGAAACGGCCATCTTCCATCCCTTGCTGTAGGCCGGCATCCAGCCTCTTCGTTGCCAGTAAGAACCATTTTTCGGTCGCATTTGTGACATTATAGACAGTACATTAAGATCAAAATGGTCTTTGTTGTCTCCTATTTTTTTAACAATTGCAGTTTTTAGATGGGGATAATCGGACAAAAGCCGGATGGAATGTGTGCTGCCGTCTGCCAGCTTTCTATTGTTTATATTGTTTTTTCCAAATAATCGGGTATGCTGTGTATTTGCCGAATTTCGGTCGCAGACGACAGCTCTCACGTCCAGCCCCAACTCTTCAGTCGCTTGGATGTTTTCTTCTAAAACCGGTCCCATGTTTGTTTGGCCTATTCTGCGGGGATAGCTTTTCAACACTACATCAAAGGGAGTGAGTAGACTGCGTGCTGCGAAGACCAATACACTATGGTGTTCCAATATTTTTGTTTTCTTTTGGTTCGAATAGTCGCAACCCTGCAGTTCGTCATCTGCTCGCGAGTACACCGTCGCGTGGTTGGTGTATACCTCGTCAAAATGGATCTGTACAATCCTGTCTTTTTCACTCAGTTGAGCGAATTTTGACTGGGCAGACATAGGCGGACTATCGCAGCTCTCGGCATAGACCGGTGCAAAGTCGTCGTCTTTGGTCAGTCGGGCGCGTTTTGGACGATGCGACTGCCGCCTCAGTAGCTTTTCTCTTGCAGTCCTTCAGGAAATTGTGCAAGAGCGTCGAGGCACGTGTTTTATTCGTTGATTCCGGCGTCATTAATATCTCGTTTAGAGTGAATCGCCCCGTCGTCGATCCTGACGATGTCGCAATTCAATAAACCTTAGGAACAGCTTCAAATTCCAGTTTGCGTATCGTGCGCTTCAGTTCCGATAAAACATTATCTACGATAGGTGTATTGAGAACCTTCACGTCGCCTTGGAATCCACGAAAGTTTTCCTTCGCCAGACGGATATCTTCTTCAGCAGCCTTTTTACTTGATAACAGTCTCCTCATGGTTTCAGCTGCCTGTTTATATCCCAGCTCTTCAGCATACCACGCATACGCGGTAAGAGCCTTCCTCAAGCTTTTTTATACATTTATATATATATAAGATTATATATTATATAAAAGCACTTGTATGAATATATGGTAAGAATTAACAGAAAATGTTGAAAAATATGCGAAAATTGAACGCCAGATCTCTAAGAATTGAATAAAACTAGTCAGGAGACATTCAAGGGGAGATAAATGCTCTTTTTTTATATATTTATATATATAAGATTATATATTATATAAAAGCACTTGTATGAATACATGGTAAGAATTAACAGAAAATGTTCAAATTACTGAGAAGAGATACTTTTAATATTTTAATACACAAAAAACGGTAACTCTGTTCAAGCGCTGTGGTCATATTTTTGTCTTTGTGAAAAAATTTTTGCAATTTAATTTCTTTATTGCGTTATACGTTTTTAAAAGTTTTCAAACTTATTATAATTTATTGAACTTTTTGTGTGTTTATTGCGAAAAGTGTTCATCGCGGATACCGTACGTGTTTTCCTTTAAATACATTAAAAAAAAAAAAAAAATTAAAAACATCTGACTTTTTATTCAGTAGTTTCCCAAACTTTTTCAAGTGAGTGGTTATTTCACAAACAATAAGTAATAGACAACAATAAGGCATAATGGCCCCGTGGCCGCCAGATAAAAACTCGAATAGATTTAATCTATTAAGTGGTACATCCCCCCAAAGAAAAAAAAGTAAAAATTCCGATTTTCCGGTGTTGCCAATCAGCGATATAACCCCTATTGATAAAAAATATATTGTTATTTCTTCAACCGATGCTCGAATAACAATTTCCCAAACTAGCCCTTTTGCTATAAAAAAAGCTCTAGATAGCATTACAACATACATCGACTCCATCTCGATTCTACGCGATGGGAATTTACTGGTCCTCGCTGGGAACCCGAGCGCAACCGAAAAACTCATAAAGGCCAAATCTTTAGCTAATCTATGTGCTATTTCAGCTAAACTACATGAGAAACTTAACTCGGTTCGAGGCGTAATTTATGCCCCTTGCTTAAAGCATGTGTCGGAAGATGAAATTGTTCGCGAAATGGGCAATCAAGGAGCGACTGAAATATATAAATTCACCAAACTGAATGATGACGGAAAAACACGCTCTCCTACAGGAAGGATTATTTTAACTTTTGATCGCTATCGATTACCGCGAACAGTTGATGTGGCGTGGTATAAATGTAAAGTAGAACTATACATCCCAAATCCTATGAGGTGAAAAAATTGCCAACGCCTGGGTCATACGGCAAAAAGATGCACTAATGCTGCGTCTTGTGCTAACTGCATAAATTGCAATGATCAACACTCAGCGTTAGACAAACAATGCCCACGTTTTGTACAGATGCGTGAAATATTAAAAATCAAAACAGAAAATTACTGTAGCATGAGCGAAGCGCGACGCACATACCGGGAAAGAAATCCATCTGTAGCCCATGGAATTGGCAAAAGTAATACCTACGCTGCTGTTGCCTCGCAAATCGAGCCTAGTAAGACTTTAACTGCAACTGCTTCCAATGAAAAACCTGTTCCACCATTAACCAAAAATTATATTGCGAAACCAGTTACCTCACTTGCCAAAGATAATATTGAAAAAACCAAAGCAACTGCAAATATTGAAAAAATTAAAACAACAACACATATGCTAAAATCTAATATACCAAATTCTCCAGAATCTCCAGCTCTCAACTTTACTCAACAAATCACAAGTGGTAATGAATCCATTCTTTCA